GTCATCCCTCCCCAGGCACACCCCCGTGCCCGGACGAGGGGCTTCCTGGGCCCTTTTCTGACCCGGACGGATTTTCCTTAATTCCATCCCTCCGGGAGTTGGCCATGTGGGGCCCGTCCGGTTCCAACTCTTCCTCGCAGGTGCTTGGGATGGGATGGTCCCTCTGTGCAGCCGGACAGTAAGGCAGCTTATGCTGCATAAGTACTTCTCGACCTGACCCAGCTCCATTCTCCTTAGAATGAAATCTAAATTAAATTAGGCTTGACGCAGGTCTTCTCTGGGTCTTTTCCCAGAGAACTTGTGTGTTCGTTTCAGACAGCACCCCGAAGACAGTATTGTACTGAGAATCAATCTATGATTTTGAGGCTAGGTGCTCAGTAAACATTCTGCCTTGAGAAAAGAACTCATGGGTGCGCGGAGCAGGTTTTCTCCACTTAACCACTGTGTGGGTATGTTCGTGGGATGACGTTTGAAATGGGAAAAGCTAAGAAGTCAGGCTTTAAGTGGAGATTCTTAAGCCCCCCAAATACAGATTTATTTGTACTTAGCTGTCCACAGCCCTGCCGCCTTTTTTCTTGTTGCTCACACACCCTTTTCTAGTCCTGTTTACTGTATACTTGTGCCACAAGTATTTTGTTGTAAACAAACTGGTAATCAGAAGACAGTATCTTGGACTTGTAAGGAGCTCAAAGCCACATGTTTATTGGTGGAGACATAATAGTTATTTTTAAAGGCTTGAGGTGTCACCTGTACGTGGAATTAAACTTTTGTCCCCAGAGGATATGTAGGATTGGAGGATGAATTTTAGTTCAATATGAGGAAAAGCTTTTCCAGTCAGAGCTCTCTAAAGATAAAACAAGCACTAAATGTCTTGCCACTTGTAAATGTAGGCCTCATGCATTTTCAGATCCATCTTCTTATCCCAAACCATCTCCATTTCTTGCCTGGGTTGCTTTGACAGCCTTAAGGTTTTGTTTTTCCTCCATTACATACATACAATCCTGTCTTGTAGTCAAGAGTATTCTTTTTAAAACCTTACTAACATAATACCGTTTTCTTTGTTTAAAATCTCTCAGTGCTTTCCACTGTGTTTATAATAATATTTAGACTCTTAAAGATCTACGTGATCGGATTCCTGCCTTGTCTTGTACTGCTCTTCCTCACTATATGCTAATCATACTGACCTTGTTTCTGTTCTCTGAGTATGTCTCAGCGCCCTTACACACTGTGTTCCCCCTTTCTAGATTCCTCTTCCTCAAGTTTTCCCTTAGTGTCTCAGTCCTTACTCTGAGCTCAAATGTTAGTCTTTCCTGATCATTCTGTTAAAACATGCTGCCTCTCTCCCCCTCAGCTGTCCCATCCCTTCACCACAGTCTTGTAATTACTTTGTTTGTTTACTTGCCTGATGACTGTCTTTCTGTGGTAGAATTTTGGGCGGGAAACTCATCATTTTCATAATTCTTAGAACACTGCCAAGCAGATGGCAGAAGTTCAAAAGTATATCTTGAATGAGTAAATCAGTCAATTAATCAAATCAGTGAGTTAGTCCCTACACTATTTTAAGTAGAGGCTGAAAAAGCACTTGGTGGGAATATAATAGAATTTAAACCTAATGATTTTTTTAGGTCCTCCTCTATGACTCTGTGATGATAGTGTAGTGTGAATTCATTACTGTCATTTGTTACATCTATTGGATTACTTACCAGCTTTTGCTCCAAACCGTCTGTCACCTGGTTTTCTGTCCTTTGGCTGACAATGGCTTAGGCTCTGTCCCAGGTGCTAAACAGAACCTAACAGGTTCCAGTTTGGATTATTCAGTTTATTCCTTCTGCACTTGCAAGGCACTAGGAACACAGAGGTGAATTCGAAGTCAACATGTACTGTTCAGTTTTTCAGGAAGTTTGGCTGGGAAAGGGAGTGGAGGGAGAGAGAGGTAGTTGCTGGAGAGAGATGTAAGAATGAATGGTTTTTTTTTTTTTAACATAATATAGGCACATAAAGGAAAATTATGCTTAAAAGCCTTAAAAGAATAGTCTCCCACTCATCTTTCCCTTTCCTTATCCAGAGGTAGCTGTTTTCAGCTTTTAAGCTGTATCTTCTGGAACATACCTTCATATTTATAAATATTATGCTATTTTAAATAATACTATAAATTGATTCAGCAATTTTAGATATCTGCTGACTTCATATTAAGACGTAAGAGCTTTTTTTAGCATCCCCAAACCTTCCCATTCCCCAGGTGTGCCACCCGCCCCCCATCCAAAGGAGAGGTTCTGTTTTGTTTTTAAGATGGGAAATATTTGTGTATGGAGTGTAGAGTAATTGATTTACTTGTTTTCCATCGACAAAGGCTGATTTTTTAAGCTAGGACGGCCATGTAACAGATTATTCATAAGGTGAAACCAAACAGGAGAGTATAAAAAAATCCATCACCTCTTTTGGTAAAAGCAGTTTGGTAAAAACATACTGTTGGTTGATAATAAGGGAATAGGTAGCATTTTTAGTATTTTGATAAAGTGTTCTGCTATTTATGATCTGTTCCATATCTAAAGCACTCTTGCCTGTCAGCTCTTCCACATTACTAGTTCACGGTCCTTCTCCCCTACTCCTCAATCATTGCATTCTTTAATTTGTCTTCTCTTCATGCTGTCAATACAGCCTCTCTGTTCTGGGTTTGTTATACCGACCTAGAGTACCAGGAAGTTCTTTTTATCTGCTTTTAGAGTAGTAATATGCCCTAACTAGAACCATAGCATGGTTTTGTTCACTAAATTTTGTATCCTTTCCTGGATGGTTCTCTAAAGACTGCTGAAGCTGTTTAGCAAACCCACACTTATCAGTTAGAAATGGCTACATCTCCTAAGTAAAGTTGCTTTGACCCTTTTTAATCAACTCACAGTTTCAGCTTTGTTCCAGAATGATTTTAGAAGTATATGGAAAATGCACCAAAAAAAAAAGAAGAAGTACATGGAAAATGTATCTGAGAGACAGTTTGTTTCATGGTCTAAGGACAGTAATTTCCCATGCCTTTTTTTTCCTCATAATTCCTTTGATATATTACTGTATTTCAAGGTGCATTCTTTTGGAGAGGATAGTTATTTCCTTTACAGTGTTAGCGCTAACACCTCAAGGTCACAAGGGAAATGCTATGCTTGGGTAATTGAAGTCAGAGCAGATCAAGATTGCTTCTCATTTATCAAAACCTTCTAGGTTACTTATGATACAAAGGAGGTACCTTAATTTAGGCATCTTGAAATAATTATTTTACTCTGTTGAATTGATGACTACTCTTTTTTTGTAAATAGTTTTTATAACTTTTGGTTTATTTTGTGTGAATAATTTTATTCTAAAATTGTGTGGGAAAGTTTCCAATTGACCACAATACTGGACCCCATCCCCACAATTTCTATTTCAGTAGATCTGGGATGGGGCCAAGAATTTTTATTTTTAACAAGTTCCCAGGTAATGCTAATGTTAATTGGTCCAGGGACCACACTTTGAAAACCACTGAATTAGGCAAATAATGCAATATATGTGGCGTCATGAAAGTTTGATAACAGAGTTAATTCGTAAACCTTGAGATATAAATGTTTTCAGTTTTAAAGAAAACTATTCATTCCTCTAGTGAAGTCACCCCTCAGAAAATAGTTTTTTTCTAACATTAGTTTATCTTAGCATATATATTTCTTAATCATGGTATATTTTTGTCTTACAGCTGGAATTATTTCTCTTCTGGATGAGGAAGAACCACAGCTTAAGGTATGAGTTGAAGAAAAATTAACTGGGCTTAATATGAGTTCTTTGAAGCTCTTTGAATTTAGTGATATCTATATATCTTCCTTCACTTAAAGTAGCCATCCTCCCCAGTCCATACCTAGTCACTGAAATCTAGTCCCAGAGGACAGTATTTTGGCAACAGCAGTTGATTTTCCCTAGAGTTTAACAAAGCTAAGGTAAATGAATCTCAGTATGGCACCTGGAGTCCCCGCTTCTCCTCAGTTTCTTTATCAATGGAAATCAAAAAATTGTTTCTTCTGTGTCACATTTTAAAACTATTTTCATGTGACAAAAATGTATAATATATTTCAACTGGCTCTAGGCAACTGAATTTATTTATATCCAAACCAGCAATGTAGAGTCTATCTTACATATATATTCAAAGAAGAAAAATGTTCAGTATGATAAGGAATGACATTGTATGGCTAGTCTGATATTTTATGATTGAAAACAGAAAGGAAGTATGTAAACCTAAGAGAAAATGTAAGTCAGTTGGTAAATTTTTATATTTGTTATAGATTAAAAATTTTAGTAAACATGACTTATGATTTGGCCACTGATTTGTTGGAAACTTTTTCTTTATGGAAGTGTAATGATAAGTCTCTCTCAAAGTCGAATTTTGGTTTTATCTTCTACAGGAATTTGCACTACACAAGTTGAATGCAGTTGTCAATGACTTCTGGGCAGAAATTTCTGAGTCTGTAGACAAAATGTAAGAATTTACTTTATTTCTGTTCATTAGAATAAAGTGATGACCTTACTTATCTGTGGATGTGGGTCTTGTGGCTTATTAATTCATTTAGAAATTTGCTGCTACTAAATTGTGGCTTGAATATTTAGATTTGGGATTTTTAAGGAGAAC